GCCAAAGCCTCCTTAAAAACTAGGAGCCCTGCTGATAGGTCAACAGACAGGAATAACCAACACACACACACACACACACACACACACACACACACACACACACACACACACACACACCACACACACACACACACACATGGCAGCCATGGTAATAGGTCAACAGACAGGAATAAAACACACACAGAGCATCAACACATACACACAGTGGCCATGTAAGGAGAGCGACAGAGAGGCATGTGAGAGACTTGGAGGCATTCAATCATCTATCAATCACTGGCACCGTGCCAGGTCCACGTCACGCTGTCACTGAGGAACCCTCTACCCCTCTCCCCTCCCTTCTCTCCCCCTGCTGACTATCAGTTCTCCCCTCTCCCCTCCCTTCTCTCCCCCTGCTGACTAACAGTTCTCCCCTCTCCCCTCCCTTCTCCTCCCTTTCCCCCTGCCCACTATCATTCTCCCCCTCCCCCCCCCCTCCCTTCTCTCCCCCACTGACTATCATTCTCCCCTTCCCTCCCTTCTCTCCCCCGCACTTCTTCCCCTCCTTCCCCCCCTTTCTCTCCCCCTGCTGACTACAGTTCTCCCCTCTCCCCTCCCTTCTCTCCCCCTGCTGACTAACAGTTCTCCCCTCTCCTCCCCTCCCCCTCCCTTCTCCCCCCTTCTCTCCCCCTGCTGACTATCTTTCTCCCCCCTCCCCTCCCTTCTCTCCCCCTGCTGACTATCAGTTTTCTTCCCCCTCCCCCCCTCCCTTCTCTCCCCCTGCTGACTATCAGTTTCTCCCCTTCCCCTCCCCTTCTCTCCCCCTGCTGACTAACAGTTCTCCCCTCTCCCCTCCCTTTCTCTCCCCCTGCTGACTAACAGTTCTCCCCTCTCCCTCCCTTCTCCTCCCCCTGCTGACTATCAGTTCCCCCCCTCTCCCCTCCCTTCCTCCCCCTGCTGACTATCAGTTCTCCCCTCTCCCCTCCCTTCTCTCCCCCTGCTGACTATCAGTTCTCCCCCTCTCCCCTCCCTTTCTCCCCCCCCTGCTGACTACAGTTTCTCCCCTCTCCCCTCCCTTCTCTCCCCCTGCTGACTACGTTCTCCCCTCTCCCCTCCCTTCTCTCCTCCTCTGACTAACAGTTCCCCCTCTCCCCTCCCTTCCCCTCCCCCTGCTGACTAACATCTCCCCCTCTCCCCTCCCTTCTCTCCCCCTCTGACTATCAGTCTCCTCCCCCCCTCCCCTCCCCTTCTCTCCCCCCTGCTGACTATCAGTTCTCCCCTCTCCCCTCCTTCTCTCCCCCTGCTGACTATCAGTTCTCCCCTCTCCCCTCCCTTCTCTTTCCCCGCGACTCATTCTCCCTCTCCCTCCCTCTCCCCCCTGCTGACTATCAGTTCTCCCCCTCCCCCCCTCCCTTCTCTTCCCCCTGCTGACTATCAGTTCTCCCCCCTCTCCCCTCCCTTTCTCTCCCCCAGCTGACTATCAGTTTCTCCCCTCTCCCCTCCCTTCTCTCCCCCCTGCTGACTATCAGTTTCCCCTCTTTCCCCCCCCTTCTCCCCCCCCTGCTGACTAAACCCCTTCCCCCCCCTCCCTCTACTTTCTCCCCCCCTCTCCCCCCTCCCTCTCTCCCCCCGCTGACTATCAGTCTCCCCTCTCCCCTCCCTTCTCTCCCCCCTGCTACTATCAGTTCTCCCTCTCCCCCCCCTTCTCTCCCCCTGCTGACTATCAGTTCTCCCCTCTCCCCTCCCCCCCTTCTCTCCCCCTGCTGACTATCAGTTCCCCCCCTTCCCCTTTCTCCCCCCTCTTTTTCCCCTCCCTTCCCCCCCCCCTCTGACTATCATTTCTCCCCCTCTCCCCTCCCTTCCTTTTTCTCCCCCTGCTGACTATCGTTTTCTCCCCTCTCCCTTTCTCCCTTCCCTCTCCTCTTTCCCCCTGCTGACTATCAGTTCTCCCCTCCCCCCTCCTTTTCTCCCCCTGCTGACTATCAGTTCTCCCCTCTCCCCTCCCTTCTCTCCCCCTGCTGACTACAGTTCTCCCCTCTCCCTCCCTTCTCTCCCCCTGCTGACTACAGTTCTCCCCCCCCTCCCCTCCCTTCTCTCCCCCTGCTGACTATCAGTTCTCCCCTCTCCCCTCCCTTCTCTCCCCCCTGCTGACTACAGTTCCTCCCCTCTCCCCTCCCTTCTCTCCCCCTGCTGACTAACAGTTCTCCCCTTCCCCTCCCTTCTCTCCCCTGCTGACTACAGCTCTCCCCCTCCCCTCCTCCCCCTTCCCTTCTCCCCCCCCTGCTGACTACATTTCTCCCTCTTCCCTCCCTTTTTCCCCCCTGCTGACTACAGTTCTCCCTCCCCTCCTTCTTTTCCCCCCGTTTACTACACTCTCCCTCTCCCCTCCCCCTGCTGACTAACAGCTTTTCCCTCTCCCCTCCCTTCTCTCCCCCCTGCTACTACATTTCTCCCCTCTCCCCCCTCCCCCTTTTCTCCCCCTGCTGACACAGTCTCCCCTCTCCCCTCCCTTCTCTCCCCCTCCTGATATCATTCTCCCCTCTCCCCCTCCCTTCTCTCCCCCTCTGACTACAGTTCTTTCCCCTCTCCCCTCCCTTCTCTCCCCCTGCTGACTAACAGTTCTCCCCCCCCTCCCCTCTCTTCTCTCCCCCAGCTGACTACATCTCCCTTCCCCTCCCTTTTCCCCCCCTCCCTTCTCCCTCCTCCCCCTTCTCTTCCCCCGTTTCTTTTCCCCCTCCCCCCCTCTCTTCTCTCCCCCGCTGACTAACAGTTCTCCCCTCTCCCCTCCCCTTCTCTCCCCCGCTGACTAACATTTTTCCCCCTTCCCCCTCTCTCTCTCCCCCGCTGACTACAGTTCTCCCCCTTTTCCCCTCTCCTCTCCCTTCTCTCCCCCTGCTGACTAACAGTTTCCCCCTCTCCCCTCCTCTTCTCTCCCCCCTGACTAACTTCTCCCCTCTCCCCTCCCTTCTCTCCCCCTGCTGACTAACAGTTCTCCTCCCTCCCCCTTCGCCTCATTCTCCCCTGTCCCCTCCCTTCTCTCCCCCCGCTGACTTCAGTTTCTCCCCTCTTCCCCCTCCCTTTCTCTCCCCCCTGCTGACTATCCGTTTCTCCCTCCCCTCTCTCCCCTTTCCCCTTCTCTCCCCCTGCTGACTATCAGTTTCTCTCCCTCTCCCCCTCCCCTTTTCTCCCCCTGCTGACTACAGTTTTTCCCCGTCCCCCCCCCTTCTCTCCCCCTGCTGACTAACAGTTCTTCCCCTTCCCCCCCTTCTCTCCCCCTGCTTGACTATCAGTTTCTTCGCCTCTCCCCCTCCCCTCTCCTTCCCCCCCCCTGCTGCTACGTTCTCCCCTCTCCCCTCCCTTCTCCTCCTCCCCCCTGCTGACTATCATTTCCTCCCTCTCCCCTCCTTTCTCCCCCTGCTGACTATCAGTTCTCCCCGTCCCTCCCCCTCTCCCCCTGCTGACTAACAGTTCTCCCCCCCCTTCCCCTCCCCTTTCTCCCCCTGCTGACTATCAGTTCTCCCCTCTCCCCTCCCCTTCCCTCCCCCTGCTACACGTTCTCCCCTTCCCCTCCCTTTTCCCCCCCCTGCTGACTACAGTTTCTCCCCTTCCCCTCCCTTCTCTCCCCCTGCTGACTACATTTTCCCTCCCCCTCCCTTCTCTCCCCCTGCTGACTAACAGTCTCCCCTCTCCCCTCCCTTCTCTCCCCCTGCTGACTAACTTCTCTCCCCTCCCCTCCCCTTTTCTCCCCCTGCTGACTAACAGTCTCCCCCTCCCTCTTCTCTCCCCTGCTGACTAACGCTCTCCCCTCTCTCTCCCCCCCTCTCTCCCCTTACTACTTTTCCCCTCTCCCCTCCTCTCTCCCCCCCTGTGACTACAGTTCTCCTCCTCTCCCCTCCCTTCTCCCCCCCTGCTGACTAATCAGCTCTCCCCTCTCCCCTCCCTTCTCTCCCCCTGCTGACTAACAGTTCTCTCCCCTCTCCCCACCTCCTCCTTCTTCCCCCTGCTGACTAAAAGCTCTCTCTCCCCCCTCTCCCCTCCCTCCCCTTTGCCCCCTCTTTCTCCCCAACTCGCTATTTCTCCCCCTCCCCCCCCTCCCTTCTCTCCCCCCTGCTGACTACAGCCTTCTCGCCCCTCTCCCCTCCCTTTCTCTCCCCCTGCTATCACTCACATACAACCTTCTACTGTCAACCCCCTCTACAATACAGACCTTCTATTGTCAACCCACCTCTACAATACAGACCTTCTATTGTCAACCCACCTCTACAATACAGACCTTCTATTGTCAACCCACCTCTACAATACAACCCTTCATTGTCAACCCCTACCTCAGCCTTCTCTTCCCCCCCTCTCTACAACCCCAACCAACCCCCCTACATGCCCTTCTTTTCCCACCCACCTCTACAATACAGCCTCTATTGTCACCCCCCCTAATACAACCTTATTGTCAACCCACCTCTACAATACAGACCTTCTATTGTCAACCCACCTCTACAATACAGACCTTCTATTGGTCTTTACAGCCAGTAAGGCCCAGACCCAGTCCAGTACTAAGCTTCCATCTGGCTGTTGTTGGGCAACAAACACTCCCAGACAGCCATGTGAGGGAGGGATGCCCTTCTAACTGCAGGACAACTAACGACTACAATCTCAGACGGGCATTTCAGGATGCTATGATGGAAATTAGGTCAATCAGTTCTGCCTTGATTTACGAATCAAATTAATTATGTAAAACATGATTTACAAATGATGTATCCCTGAAGCAGGGGCTTAGGAGAGTGGATTGCCCAGGCTTCCTATTACATGATTACATCCTAACTGTACTGTTATCATCAGTAGGCGTCCTATTACATGATTACATCCAAATGTACTGTTTAATCAGGGGTTCCTATTACATGATTACATCCTAACTGTACTGTTATCATCAGTAGGCTTCCTATTACATGATTACATCCTAACTGTACTGTTTTCATCAGTAGGCTTCCTATTACATGATTACATCCTAACTGTACCTGTTATCATCAGTAGGCTTCCTATTACATGATTACATCCTAACTGTCCTGTTATCATCAGTAGGCTTCCTATTACATGATTACATCCTAACTGTACTGTTATCATCAGTAGGCTTCCTATTACATGATTACATCCTAACTGTACTGTTATCATCAGTAGGCTTCCTATTACATGATTACATCCTAACTGTACTGTTATCATCAGTAGGCTTCCTATTACATGATTACATCCTAACTGTACTGTTATCATCAGTAGGCTTCCTATTACATGATTACATCCTAACTGTACTGTTATCATCAGTAGGCTTCCTATTACATGATTACATCCTAACTGTCCTGTTATCATCAGTAGGCTTCCTATTACATGATTACATCCTAACTGTACTGTTATCATCAGTAGGCTTCCTATTACATGATTACATCCTAACTGTACTGTTATCATCAGTAGGCTTCCTATTACATGATTACATCCTAACTGTACTGTTATCATCAGTAGGCTTCCTATTACATGATTACATCCTAACTGTACTGTTATCATCAGTAGGCTTCCTATTACATGATTACATCCTAACTGTACTGTTATCATCAGTAGGCTTCCTATTACATGATTACATCCTAACTGTACTGTTATCATCAGTGGGCTTCCTATTACATGATTACATCCTAACTGTACTGTTATCATCAGTAGGCTTCCTATTACATGATTACATCCTAACTGTACTGTTATCATCAGTAGGCTTCCTATTACATGATTACATCCTAACTGTACTGTTATCATCAGTATGCTTCCTATTACATGATTACATCCTAACTGTTATCATCAGTAGGCTTCCTATTACATGATTACATCCTAACTGTACTGTTATCATCAGTAGGCTTCCTATTACATGATTACATCCTAACTGTACTGTTATCATCAGTAGGCTTCCTATTACATGATTACATCCTAACTGTTATCATCAGTAGGCTTCCTATTACATGATTACATCCTAACTGTACTGTTATCATCAGTAGGCTTCCTATTACATGATTACATCCTAACTGTACTGTTATCATCAGTAGGCCTCCTATTACATGATTACATCCTAACTGTTATCATCAGTAGGCTTCCTATTACATGATTACATCCTAACTGTCCTGTTATCATCAGTAGGCTTCCTATTACATGATTACATCCTAACTGTACTGTTATCACCAGTAGGCTTCCTATTACATGATTACATCCTAACTGTACTGTTATCATCAGTAGGCTTCCTATTACATGATTACATCCTAACTGTACTGTTATCATCAGTAGGCTTCCTATTACATGATTACATCCTAACTGTACTGTTATCATCAGTAGGCTTCCTATTACATGATTACATCCTAACTGTACTGTTATCATCAGTAGGCTTCCTATTACATGATTACATCCTAACTGTCCTGTTATCATCAGTAGGCTTCCTATTACATGATTACATCCTAACTGTCCTGTTATCATCAGTAGGCTTCCTATTACATGATTACATCCTAACTGTACTGTTATCATCAGTAGGCTTCCTATTACATGATTACATCCTAACTGTACTGTTATCACCAGTAGGCTTCCTATTACATGATTACATCCTAACTGTACTGTTATCACCAGTAGGCTTCCTATTACATGATTACATCCTAACTGTACTGTTATCATCAGTAGGCTTCCTATTACATGATTACATCCTAACTGTACTGTTATCATCAGTAGGCTTCCTATTACATGATTACATCCTAACTGTACTGTTATCATCAGTAGGCTTCCTATTACATGATTACATCCTAACTGTCCTGTTATCATCAGTAGGCTTCCTATTACATGATTACATCCTAACTGTCCTGTTATCATCAGTAGGCTTCCTATTACATGATTACATCCTAACTGTACTGTTATCATCAGTAGGCTTCCTATTACATGATTACATCCTAACTGTACTGTTATCATCAGTAGGCTTCCTATTACATGATTACATCCTAACTGTCCTGTTATCATCAGTAGGCTTCCTATTACATGATTACATCCTAACTGTACTGTTATCACCAGTAGGCTTCCTATTACATGATTACATCCTAACTGTCCTGTTATCATCAGTAGGCTTCCTATTACATGATTACATCCTAACTGTCCTGTTATCATCAGTAGGCTTCCTATTACATGATTACATCCTAACTGTACTGTTATCATCAGTAGGCTTCCTATTACATGATTACATCCTAACTGTACTGTTATCATCAGTAGGCTTCCTATTACATGATTACATCCTAACTGTTATCATCAGTAGGCTTCCTATTACATGATTACATCCTAACTGTCCTGTTATCATCAGTAGGCTTCCTATTACATGATTACATCCTAACTGTACTGTTATCATCAGTAGGCTTCCTATTACATGATTACATCCTAACTGTACTGTTATCATCAGTAGGCTTCCTATTACATGATTACATCCTAACTGTACTGTTATCATCAGTAGGCTTCCTATTACATGATTACATCCTAACTGTTATCATCAGTAGGCTTCCTATTACATGATTACATCCTAACTGTCCTGTTATCATCAGTAGGCTTCCTATTACATGATTACATCCTAACTGTCCTGTTATCATCAGTAGGCTTCCTATTACATGATTACATCCTAACTGTACTGTTATCATCAGTGGGCTTCCTATTACATGATTACATCCTAACTGTACTGTTATCATCAGTAGGCTTCCTATTACATGATTACATCCTAACTGTACTGTTATCATCAGTAGGCCTCCTATTACATGATTACATCCTAACTGTCCTGTTATCATCAGTAGGCTTCCTATTACATGATTACATCCTAACTGTACTGTTATCATCAGTAGGCTTCCTATTACATGATTACATCCTAACTGTACTGTTATCATCAGTGGGCTTCCTATTACATGATTACATCCTAACTGTCCTGTTATCATCAGTAGGCTTCCTATTACATGATTACATCCTAACTGTCCTGTTATCATCAGTAGGCTTCCTATTACATGATTACATCCTAACTGTACTGTTATCATCAGTGGGCTTCCTATTACATGATTACATCCTAACTGTACTGTTATCATCAGTAGGCTTCCTATTACATGATTACATCCTAACTCTTCCTGTACAACCTGTTACTACTACAGCCTCTATGAATTCATCTTTCAGAAATATCAGGAGAGAAGCCTCTCCAAATCTCCTAATGTCCTCCTAATCTGTGTAATCCCTGTAAATAGACACACAGCATGACAATGGAGTCCGGCCTCCCGCGCCCTGCTGTCTACGCTGTCTCCTAATTGTGCTCAGACTGGACGGGATAACGCTCAGACTGGACGGGATAACGCTCAGACTGGACGGGATAACGTTTGGCACGCTACAGGAAGTATCCAGCCAGCTGCTATTGTACTAGAGAATATGCTGAACTATGCTACATTCCCATACCTAAAGAAAGCATGTAGAGTCCCCTTCAGAAAGTATTCATACCCCTTTAATTCATCTACATTCTGTTGTGTTACAGCCTCAATTCAAAATGGATATAGTGACAAATTGAAAACATGTTTTTAGAAATGTTTTGCAAATTCATTGAACATTAAATACATACATATCTCATCAACATAAAACACACCCCCTTTTTCATTTGATCCTCCTTGAGATGTCACTTCAACTTGATTGGAGTCCACCTGTGGCCAATTTTCAATTGTTTGGACATGATTTAGAAAGAAACACACCTGTCTATATAAGGTCCCACAGTTGACAGTGCATGTCAGAGCAGAAACTATACCATGAAGTCCAACGAACTGTCTGTAGATATCTGAGATAGAATAGTGATGAGGCATATATCTCGGGAAGGGTATGAAACCATTTCTAGAGTGTTGAGAGTTTCCAAGAGCACAGTGGTCTCCATCATTGGGAAATGGAAAAAATATGGAACTACCCAGTCTCTGTCTAGAGCTGGCCGTCCGACCAAACTGAGCAACCGGTCAAGAAGGACCTTGGTCAGGGAGGTGACCAAGAACCCAATGACCACTCTGACACAACTACAGAGTTCCTTGGCTGAGATGGGAGAACCTGCCAGAAGGACAACAGTCTCTACAGCACTTCACCAATCTGGGCTTTATGGGAGAGTGGCCAGACGGAAGCCACTCCTGAGAAAAAAGTCACATGACAGCACGCCTGGAGTTTGCAAAAAGGCACGTGAAAGACTCTTAAGAGCTTAAGGCAAAATATTCTGTGGTCTGATGAGACCTGTCTGGAGAAAACCAGCTCTTTGGAAACAGAAGATGCTCTACAGGAATGATGGAGGCCATCTTGGCTCCTGGACCCTGTCCGCACAGTTCAAGGCTGCGTTGAGACAATGACTTATCAATGACTCAAACCCTGCTCAGATAATCCCTACCATTGTGTCGCTGAGTTGTCTTAGTGCTGCTGCAAATGTACATTGTCCCAGGGCTGTTGGTAGTTATAATGTTAGTAACCTAATTTATGTCCCTCTAACTGCCCTGAATGCCTCTGTTGATCCTACAGCTATTAGATGCAGTAATCATGTGTCTATGAACCAGAGTTATACTGTTAACACTGAGGCGGTTTGCCCTAGTAGGAAATCCACTGTGTGCAGCTCACCCTGCACTATAAACTCAAATATAAATATCACTGTTATGTTTACCTATGATAAGCTTCCCAGTAAGGGAATAAAATCAAGCAAGCATCCCAGAAAAGTGCTAACAATAGCCTACGTTAACATACGTAGCCTAAGAAACAAGGTTCATGAAATCGATAACTTGCTAGTAACAGATGACATTCATATACTGACTATCTCTGAAACTCACTTAGATAATACCTTTGATGATACAGTGGTAGCAATACATGGTTATAACATCTACAGAAGAGACAGGAATGCCAATGGGGAGGTGTGGCTGTTTATATTCAGTCATATTCCAGTAAAGCTTAGAGACGATCTCATGTTAAATACTGTTGAAGTAATATGGCTACAGGTTCATCTGCCTCACCTAAAGCCTATTCTGGTGGGAAGCTGCTATAGACCACCAAGTGCTAACAATCAGTATCTGGATAACATGTGTGAAATGCTTGATAATGTATGTGATATCAACAGAGAGGTATATTTTCTGGGTGATTTAAATATTGACTGGCTTTCATCAAGCTGCCCACTCAAGAGAAAGCTTCAAACTGTAACCAGAGCCGCCTGCAACCTGGTTCAGGTTATCAGTCAACCTACCAGGGTAGTTACAAACAGCACAGGAATTAAATCTTCCACATGTATTGATCACATCTTTACTAACGCTGCAGAAATGTGCTTGAAAGCAGTATCCAGATCCATCGGATGTAGTGATCACAATATAGTAGCCATATCTAGGAAAACCAAAGTTCCAAAGGCTGGGCCTAATATAGTGTATAAAAGGTCATACAAGAGGTTTTGTAGTGATTCATATGTTGAAGATGTAAAGAATATTTGATGGTCTGTGGTGTGTAATGAGGTCTGTGGTGTGTAATGAGGTCTGTGGTGTTTAATGAGGAGCAACCAGATGCTGCACTTGACACATTTATGAAATTGCTTATTCCAGTTACTAATAAGCATGCACCCATTAAGAAAATTACTGTAAAAACTGTTAAATCCCGGTGGATGGAGGAGGAATTCAAAAAGTGTATGGTTGACAAGGCAAAAGGAATGGCAAGTAAGTATGGCTGCACAACTGAATGGCAAACGTACTGTAAATCATGTGACTAAACTGAATAAAAAGAAGAAACTGTACTATGAAACAAAGATAAATTATAAAAAGAATGGAGCACCTTAAATGACATTTGGGCATAAAAGTGAACTCAGCTCCATCATTCATTGAATCAGATGGCTCATTCATCACAAAACACAATGATATTCCCAACTACTTGAATAATTTTTTCATTTAGGCATGACATGCCAACAACAAATTCTGAACCTACCGTACACGTCCATTTATAACTTACCAAATTATGAAAGACAAGCATTATAATTTTGAATTCAGTAAAGTGAGTGTGGAAGAGGTGAAAAAAGTATTGTTGTCTATCAACAATGACAAGCTACCTGGGAAAATGTGTGAGGATGATAGCGGACTATATTGCCACTCCAATCTGCCATCTCTTCAATCTAAGCCTGCAGGAAAGTGTGTGCTTGTCACACCCTGATCTGTTTCAGCTGTCTTTGGGATTGTCTCCACCCCCCTCCCAGGTGTCGCCCATCTTCCCCATTATCCCCAGTGTATTTATACCTGTGTTCTCTGTTTGTCTGTTGCAAGTTCCTTTTGTTTCATCAAGCCTACCAGCAGTTTCCCCCTTGCTCCTGTCTTTCTCAAGTGCCTGTTTTCTAGTTTTCCCGGTTTTGACCATTCTGCCTGCCCTGACCCTGAGCCTGCCTGCCGTTCTGTACCTTATCACACCACCCTGGATTATTGACCTCTGCCTGCCCTGACCCTGAGACTGCCTGCCGTTCTGTACCTTGTCACACCACCCTGGATTATTGACCTCTGCCTGCCCTGACCCTGAGACTGCCTGCCGTTCTGTACCTTTTGGAATGGATTACTGACCTCTGCCTGCCCTTGACCTGTCGTTTGCCTGCCCCCTGTTTTTGTAATAAACGTTTTGTTACTTCGACACTGTCTGCATCTGGGTCTTCTCCTGAAACATGATATGTGCCCTCAGGCCTGAAGGGAAGCAAAAGTAATTCCGCTACCCGAGAATAGCAAAGCAACCTTTACCAATCAGCCTGTTACCAACCCTAAGTAAACTTAAACTTTTGGAAAAAATTGTGTTTGACCAGATACAATACTATTTCACAGTAAACAAATTATCAACTGACTTTCAAAACACTTATAAGGAAGGGCACTCAACATGTACGGCACTACACAAATGACTGGCTGAAAGAAATTGATAATAATACGATTGTTGGAGCTGTTTTGTTAGACTTCAGTGCAGCTTTTGACATTATTGATCATAGTCTGCTGCTGGAAAAACATATGTGTTATGGCTTTACATCCACTGCTATATTGTGGATAAAGAGTTACCTGTCTAACAGAACACAGAGAGTGTTCTTTAATGGAAGCCTCTCCAACATAATCCAGGTAGAGTCGGGCATTCCCCAGGGCAGCTGTCTAGGCCCCTTACTTTTTTCAATCTTACATTTTTACATTTTAGTCATTTAGCAGACACTCTTATCCAGAGCAATTTATAGTAGTGAGCGCATACATTTTCATACTTTTTTCATACTGGTCCCCCGTGGGAATCGTACACACAACCCTGGTGATGCAAGCACCATGCTCTACCAACTGAGCTACACGGGACTGACTAAATACTGTGTGTCTATCTATGCTGATGACTCAAATTAATACACAGCAACCACAGCAAGTGCAACACTTAACAAAGAGCTGCAGTTAGTTTCAGAATGGGTGGTAAGGAATAAGTTAGTCCTAAATATTTATAAAACTAAAAGCATTGTATTTGGGACAAACCATTCACTAAACCCTAAACCTCAACTAAATCTTGTAATGAATAATGTAGAAATTGAGCAAGCTGAGGAGACTATACTCCTTGGTGTAACACTGGATTGTAAACTGTCAAGGTCAAAACATTTGGATGCAACAGTAGCGAACATGGGGAGAGGTCTGTCCATAATAAAGCGCTGCTCTGCTTTCTTGACATCGCTATCAACAAAACAAGTCCTACAGGCCCTAGTTTTGTCTCACCTGGACTACTGCCCAGTCATATGGTCAAGTGACACAAAGAGGGACATGACCCAGAACAGAGCAGCACGGCTGACCTTTAAATGTACATGGAGAGCTAACATTAATATGCATGTCAATCTCTCCTGGCTCAAAGTAGAGGAGAGATTGACTTCATCACTACTTGTCTTTGTGAGAAGTATAAACATGTTGAAAACACCAAGGTGTCTGTTCAAACGACTAGCACACAGCTCAGGCAACCATGCATACCCCACAAGACATGCCACCAGAGGTCTCTTCACAGTCAACCAATGTCCAGAACAGACTATGGGAGGCGCACAGTACTACATAGAACCATGACTAACATGGAACTCTATTCCACAATAGGTAACTGATGCAAGCAGTAGAATCACAT